ATGTTAAAGTCACGGCAGGCATACAGTATAGCCGAGCCGATGATAATATTGTGTTTAAGTTAATAATAATAAATAGTTTTGTTGTTTGATTACTGTCTTGTGTTACTTATTGTCAAGTGTTTAGATGCCGACGGTTCGGATACCGATCGGCCAACATCTGAGTTCCCCTAACAAGCAGTTCAAACCTCTCCATTATAACCCACTGGGGTTCGGGAGGTTTGCCTTAACCGCTTTATAATTAAAAAAAACATATACTATAAAAACAAATGATTATTATGGAAACTGTAAACTTAAAAATGATTTTCTTTGTTAAAATAATAGTAAAATAATGGTTTGTCAATAAAAAAAACAATAATCGGGTAATTATAGGGAAATGATTTTGTCGAGCAATGGGTTTGTCAGCTAAAAAAAATAAAATTACAAAAAAAAATTATTTACTAATAGAAAAGTTGAATGTCTTGCCACTCAATTCCGGCACTTTTCCTGTACTTATGGCAAGTCTAGAGTTGGAGGATATAAATGAGTAAATCAATTGTTTTATAAATGAAATAAAATCCAATTTTATTGATGAACTGGTCATCGATGTCGACAATGAAGAAGAAGTTGGTTGAGATGATGGTGTCTGTTGTTGTTGTTGTTGTTCTCCGCTGTATGTGTTGGCGGTTCCCTCTTCGGTAAATTTTCTGAGAGCCGCTTTCACGGCCAGCGATCGGGCACTTTCCAGGGCATCCATAGCCAAATCAAGGGCTTTATTAGCCTCATAACGGATGGCCAATACTCGGTGCCGATCATCGGTGTCGGCGACAGCCGCCGACTGTACTATTTGATCGACAATTTTCTGCAGTTCATCGTTGGCCTGTTCTTTGGCTTTGATGGCCTGTTCCCGTACCAGTCGGGCGGCCAGCGGGTAGGGTAGACCGAAACCCTTGTTCATTGAACTGTCGATGGCCCGATTCAATGACCAGATAGCCTGATTGGCAGCCATTTCCACGGCTTGTTTGACATTTTGCTGGTTGTTGTTGTTGTTGTCTTTGTCGGGCATCAAATGTTTGGCCGTATCGTTGCCATCGATTTTGATGACCGCCGCCACCGTCGGTGCCGCCGACGGCATGTAATCAGCCGGCGATTGGTTTTCAATACTAATATTATTATTAATAATAATTAATAAAAAAAAATCACAGCAAACAAACATTTAATAGCAATCATTGTTATTATTATTGCTAATTAAATTTAATTATTTTAGTTAAAAAATAATAAATATTGTAAATTTAATATTGATATATATATATATACAGTATATATAAAATTGTAATTTAATAGTAATTTAATTTTTTTAAAGTTTATATATATATAATACTGTATATCAATACAGCTATTAATGGGCAATAATAAAAAAATTGATAATTATTTTTTGTTATTATAATTATTATTATTATATATGAAATTAATTTTTGAACTTTTTATAGTAAGTTTTTAGTAGTATTAGTATTAATTGATTTTAATTTTGACATTTTAGCCCAACTTTCTACACTATTTATGGAAATATCTATTTATAATAATAATAATATTAAATAAACAAAAAAAAATCAATTATTTAATAAATATATATTGAGTTATATTATAGGTTTCAAACTCATTGATGGCTTGATATATATATATATATATAATATAAATTAATATAGTGTACTGTATATGTAAAAATATATGCAAACAAACAAAAAAATACATATTTATTGTATAGTATTATTAGTATTAGTATTATTATTAGCATTGAATATGAAACTAACTTTTTAAAACTTTTTTTGTTAACATTTTTAGTCCAATTAATATCATTAGTAGTGGTATTTGTGTTTAATTTTTCAAACATTTTATGGCCAGTAGTTTCCACACTATTAATGTCAAAATTCATACCTAAAATAATTAAATAAAAAATAAAACAAAAAAATTTAATCAATTATTTCTCATATATTTATTAATAAATATTTTTGAGTTGATATAAGTTTCAAACCCATTGATGGCAAACAGTTAACGATTGTAAAGTTTAATACAAAAACTATGATAAAAATTATTATAATTTTCATTATTGAATGAAATTTACACATTATTATTGATAAAATTAACAAAATAATTATAAATTTTATTACTAAAATAAAAATAAGTTTTATATTTCTACACAAACAATATGATTAACATTTGATAAACAATTTATTTGATTTGTGTTTCACCTAAAAATACTAAACTTTTATTTAATCCCTTTTAAAAACACATACATATTGTTAATCTAAATATTAATACCAAAGCATTTATTTCCTATTAGATTATAATAATAAAACTATTTGTTTGTTTGTATAGTAAAAGTTTTTTTAAAATAAATATTACTTTATATTTATTAATATTTATAGTGATTAATGTCAAATATGTATAAAATTTTAATATAAAAAATAAATATTAATAATAGATAGTAATACTAGAAATACAGTAAAAGATAAATAATATTATAATCAAATTATTATTTTATTTTTATTTAACTCAAAAAAATACAGTTTTATTCTAATTGATTTAAAATTTTAATAAAATAAATTGTAATATGATTTTTAATAATTTTTAAGTGAATACTATTAGAATCAATAAGATAATTGAAAATAATAATAATAATAAATTTTATTTTAATTTATAATAATAATATACTTATAATATTGTTATATAATAATATTAGATAATTATATTAAAATTGAATTTAATTTTGAAAATTAATAGTTTATATGTCGAAACTTTTACAATATATACATTTAAAAAAATTTGTTTACATAACTAACAAATATATACTAATTATTGACATTATAATTATATAATTTTTTTAGTATATTATTTAAAAATATAATTAAATAAAATAAAAATTGTTACACTGTAAAACAAAAACAAAAAACGATATATATTTAGTAATATATATATATATATATATTAAAAATTGTAATAATAATATCACATATATTTACAACAAATTAATTTATTAATTTTTGTATATTATATAAAAATTATTTATAAAAAATAAAATTATAGAAATATTTCAATAACAAATATTTATTTATTATTTTTTTTACATAAAATTTACACAAAACAACAACAACAAAAAATTAAATAAAATTTACAATCAATACTAGTTTACAATAACTGTTTTAATTTTTTTTAAAATAATAAATCGATAAATTAATTAATTAATACTTTATATATAATTATTTGTAAAAAAAAAATTTATTTTAGCTAAAACTTTTACAAACTATTTTTTTGTGTTATACAATTAATTAATTAATTAATAACTACAACAACTATTATTACTACTACTACTACTATTATTATTACTACTACTACTACTACTACTACTACTACTTCTACTACTACTTCTACTACTACTACTACTACTACTACTACTACTACTACTACTACTACTACTACTACTACTACTACTACTACTACTACTASTACTACTACTACTACTACTACTACTACTACTACTACTACTACTACTACTACTACTACTACTACTACTTTATTTTTAAAAAAAATTAAAAATGTTTTTTGATTTGTTTTTTTTTTAACATTTAAAACATTTTTTAAATTCAACAACATCTAAATGATAAGGATGTACTGAAAAATCTTCAACTAGTCTATTAATTATTTTCATTGCTATTGCTGCATGTTTCGTTTTATAGAAACGTATACAGCTGGGTTTTTTATGATGATTTTTATAATTATCAGCTAGCTCCTTTACGGCATATTTAAAATGTTTAATAAATGTTTCCAAATCTATATGAAAATTCAATGGTCGTAGACAGTTTTTTAATTGATCGGTTTTTATTTTAATCAATAAACATATTGGATTCTTTACATCTATAAAAATTAATTAAATAATTAATTGTATTAATTGTATTAATAATTAACAATTATTTGTATTAATTGTATTAATTGAAATTTAATAAATATATTTTTTTATTAAATTATATATATATTTATAAAAAAAAAGATTATATTAAAATATGTTTATTATTATTATTATTCAAAATTTAACAGAAAACTTACCGCAAACATCATTGAATAAATCAACTGTACTATAAGCCTGGCCTACATTTGACATCAAACTAATTGTACAAATTGTACCCACGACAATTAGTAATTGGATTTTTGTTGAATACATAGTTGAATTTTATCAAATTGAAAGTTACTTATACTTTTTTTTAAAAAAAAATAATAATAATAATAAAACAATCAAACTCAAGATAATATAAAATATATAAAACTTATTTACACGATATTTATACTTTTTTTTTGTATATATATATATATAAAGCTATTGCATTAGTCATATGTATAAATCATATATCATATTAATCATATAAATAAAGTATATATATATAATGATATATTAGCTATTAGGGTAACCATTATTTGAGATTTACAATGGACATTAAAAAAATGTTTAACAATTTAATCTAATTTAATGTCAAAAAAAACTATTAAATTAATATCAAGCATTTATATGAAAAAATTAAATAATTTAATATATGTAAAAATAATAATCTTTAAAAAATCTTATTAATTATTTAATAATATATATATTTAAATATTTTTTTGTTTAAACAATTTTTTTTCAAATCATTTTGTTATTATATTATAATATTAGTTCTTTAACTTTTTTTTAAAAAAGTAATTAATTATATTTAAAAAAAATAATTATTAAATATCATGATTAAGTTATTTATTATATTATAGCTTTTTATATTGGTAATAAATATTGTTGTGTAAGTTTTAATTTATTATTAGTAAGTTTAACTAACTAATATTTTTATATAAAAAAAATCTATTGTCTATTTAATGCTGAATAATACACTATTTATTTATCATACCTATAATAATGCAACATTTTATAAAAATATTATAATAGCTTAGAGAAAATATTAAACTTTTTTTATAAATATTTTGTCATAAATTAATTATTAAAACATAAATTTTCAATTTAATAAATTAATATAACTTATTTATTGTAAAAAAATAAGATATAAATTAGATATTTATTATAATAAGATATAAATTAAATATTTTTTTTATTAAAAACTTATTATTAAACCACAAATTTATTAAATTAAAAGCTATAAATTAGCATAAATTTTGGAAATAATATTTAATATATTTGAATATTTTAAATAATAAAATTTAGTATTATTTAAATTATTTACACAATATTTATATATTGTTTAACTTTTTTTTAAGTAATTAATTATATTATATTTTTTATATTGTTATATTGGTAAAATATTTATATTATTGTGTAAGTTTTAATTTACTATTATATAGTTTAACTAATATTTTAAAAAAAATCTATTGTCTATTTAATGCTGAATAATACACTATTTATTTATCATATCTATAATAATGCAATATTTTATATAAATATTTTAATAGCTTAGAGAAGTTAGTAAACTTTTTTTTCATAAATATTTTTTTAATAAATTAATTATTAAAACATTTCAATTTTTCAATTTAATAGATTAATATAACTTATTTTTTAGTTTAAAAACTGTAATTTATTAAATAAAATCCTATAAATTAGCATAATTATTGTGAAAAATATATTAATATATGTGAATATTTTAAATAATAAAAATTAGTATTATTTAAATTATTCACATTTATTTATATATTGTATTTGTTATAAAATATTATAAAATATCAAAATATTTAATATCATAACTTGTGTTCAATGAAAATAAATTTAATTTAATAATTAAAAATATCTAACAATATCTATAAATAACAAAATTTTAATGATTTAGTTTTTAAACAATTTTTTTGTGCATTTATTTAGTTGTATAAAAAATAAATAATATAAGTTAAATTTTTAAATATTTATATTAATACAATAATATTATATTAGTATACAAATTGTATTAAATTTATGAATTACTTAAAAGTTTACTAAATTTTAGTTATATATATATATTTATAAAAATATAAATTAATATAATTTATATATTTCAAAAATATATATTTATTATTAAATACAATAATAATATAAAGTTATTGTTTTGTATTTTATTTATTTATTTATTTAAATACTGTCTTATATATTGATTAACAATCATCGGCTGATCCAATTGTGTCCAATGGGAACAGTTATCAATGTACTGGACGGTCAAATCCTGGACATACCGGTGCGCATCGGTAGCCAATTGCTCACTGAATGCTATATCACGTTTGCCTAATAATAATAATAAAAAAACATATTATATATCTATATATGAGGGTTGGGAAAGATTTTAGATCTCAGGGGGGGGTATAGGGGGGTAAAATGACAAAAATCATGAAAAAGTTTGGGGGGTGACCAATTTTTATTGCATTTTTAAACAACAATTTTTGCCAAATTTGAATAAATTCCCACTAAATTCCCACTAAATTCCCACTAAATTCCCACTAAATTCCCACTAAATTCCCACTAAAATCTCACTAAATTCCCACTAAATTCCCACTAAATTCTCACTAAATTCCCACTAAATTCCCACTAAATTCCCTGTATATTCCCAGTAAACACACTATAAATTCCCAATAAATATCCAATAGATTTTCAAAAAAATAAATAAAAAACTTTACCCCAAATAATAAGTGTCGGCACTTTGATTGTCATTATATTTTTCGGTCTATCGGACGGGTATTTTCTACTGCTCCTCCTCCTCCTTAAAAATGCCCGATAATAGTTCAATGGGCCAGTTAGTCCGGATGATCTACTAAATACATATTTATAGGCATCCATATCATCCCGGCTAAACATAGGATGTCCATCAGCCGCCACCATACAAATATCAAATAGTTGTAGATCATTGCTTAGCAACACTAGCTCAGGTAGTAGTGGTAAGTTGAAAAAATACATATACCATGAACTGAAAAATTGTTTAGGACTACACCGGAGGCTATCCCTCAAGACCTGGGGATGTGGACTATTCAATACAATTAGCCGATCGACTAGTTGAGGATATTTCCCAGTAAATTTCCAGCCAATCAAACCGCCCCAATCGTGTCCGACCAATACTATCGGCTGCTTATGTAGTCGGTTGCGGTATATACTGGCCACCAATTCCCAGATATCTTCGACACATAAATCCAAGGTATAGTTATGACAACCCAGGGGTTTATCCGATAGGCCATAGCCACGCAAGTCGACCGCTAGTGTCCGATAGTCTGGGCTAAACTCTCGGATCTGGTGTCGCCAGGAATACCAGAATTCTGGGAAACCGTGAATAAACAACATTAGCTGTTTGTTTGACTGGTGGTCCTCCTCCTCACTATCGGACATTACATAATGAAGTTTTATACCCTATTTATTGGGTGGGGGGGGTAAACATATTATTAATTATTAATTAATTAATTAATTATAATAATAAATACATTGTTTAGTTGTTGATAATAATGTCTACCCAGTTGTCCATCGGTTAGGCAATCGGGTTCAATGTCACGGCGATGTATCTGAAAAAATTTTAGACCATTTTTACCGAAACTAATTACCGCATAAATCAATACCAAATAACCGTAAAATAGGGATAACCCTAATAATAGACAGTTATTAATTAATCGACATTTTAATAGTTTATGTATAACTAGTTTCAATAGTTTACATAACATTGTTTTATATATATATATATATTGTTAGTGTTATTATTATTACATAATAATTATGCTATTAATATAAAATTATATATATATATAATTTTTAAAAAAAAAATATTTAATATTTAATGGAGAAAACAAATAAAATATTTATTTATATAAAGAAATTATTATTATTATACAATATTTATATATTAATATATTATATTACAAACAAATTATAAAATTTTTAGTTAATCACATAATATAATTAATTGCTATAGTAACAATAAATATAATTTTTAAAATAATTATTTAACCAATTATTATTTTTATTATTATAAGCAAAATTGATTAATTAATCATAATTTACCTGTATAATTAATATATAACTTAAATACAGGTATTATTATAATTATTATAACATTGTTGTTTATTAATAGTATTATTACTTATGTTATTTTTGTTATTATTATTATTATTATTGATAATAAAAACACGCCTATTTTAAAATGAGCATGTGCAAATTTATTCTAGTAGTAGTAGTATAAAAATTTATTTAATATCATCATAAAAATTTTTTTTACTATCAATATAATAGATTTATTTTATTTAATATATATTTATATATAACTGATAGTGACATAAATATTTAAAAAAAAATAATAATAATATATGCTAAACAAAATAAATTGATTGAACTAGATCAATAATAATAATTATAATAATTATTATTATTTTACATACAACAAAAAAAAGTTTATCATGTATTATATGATTAGTTGATATAATTTTATGTGTGATATTATAATAGACACGTAATTGTTATATATATTTTTTAGTTTGGATAAATTAACTAGTACATTTTTTTTGGTTAACAAACAAGGTAAGTTTTTTGTAACAATTTATTTTTTTTAAAAAAAAGTTTATTAGTTATAGTATTATTAGTTAAAATATATTATATATAATTATTTAATTAACACATATTTTGTATGACTCTATTTAGTATTATTATTATTGATATTAAAAGTAAATAAAAAATTAAGTCTAAATTTTTAGAAATGTTTTTTAATGGCTTACAATTTTTTTTATGAATTTTTAAAAAATTATTTAAATAAAACAAAATTCAATAATTTATAAATATTATCAAAACTATTGTATTTATCTTATTTTTTTGATAAATTAATTAAGATATTTAATTATATCTAATATTAAATATTTTGAGTGATATAAATTTTTTTTTATCGCAATGTAACACATTTTTAAAAAAAAATTTAATATGTATATAAAATTATATGCAATTTCAAAAAATTAGATAATTAAGGTTAATTAAAATATTATAACAATATATATTATAATTATTTATTTATAAAAAATGTCATATTTTTTAACGCAATATATTTTTAATAGTATATAATAGTTGCTATTTATTAACATAATTATTTTATGGCTATTATTATAGTTAAAAAAAATATTATATAATTATTACACAATATTTTTATGTGTTGTTATTGTTTTAAAAATAAAAATAAAAATAATAATAATAAATTAGATTAATCATGATAGACTATTAATTATATAATCATTTTTACATAATCAACTAATAACTATTATTATATATATGACGTTTTTTTTATTGAAAATTGCAAACTAAAAAATAATAATTTATATAATTATATAATTTTATCTATAAATATATATACAGTAGTATATACACATTATATATATATAAATAGTATTTTTAGATTTAATTATTTAGCTTATATAAAATAATTAGATAGTACTGTAACTATATTATATGTATAAATCAATATTATTTAATTATTATTACTATTATTATTATTATTAAGACTATTAAGTCTCAAATATTTATTATTATTAAGGGTATAGTTAGATATATATATATATATATAAATAATTATTATCACATTTAATCAATAAGTTAGTGCATTTAATTTTTTTTTGTTAATTATTATATTTGATAAATAGTACACTAAATGTATAAACTATTTAAAGTGCAAAAACTAAATATACATATTAGTTATAACAAAATAATAATAATAATAATAATAATAATAATATTTTCAATAACAGCTGCTATTAAATACATCCCTGAATTAAATAAAATGCTATAAATTTATATTATAATTGAAAACTGTAGAAATCAATGAATAGTTTATTTTAAAAAAAAAGTTATAATAACAGACATAAACAACACAAATAACATTTGTATTGATTTATGTTTAAATATTTTATGTTTTTAATAATAATACATTTATTTGCTATGACAATGTATTTAATATAATTGAATACATTATGTATGTGTATGTATGTATGTGTATGTGTGTGTGTATGTATGTAGACACATACACATACACATACACATACACATACACATACACATACACATACACATACACATACACATACACATACACATACACATACACATACACATACACATACACATACACATACACATACACATACACATACACATACACATACACATACACATACACATACACATACACATACACATACACATACACATACACATACACATACACATACACATACACATACACATACACATACACATACACATACACATACACATACACATACACATACACATACACATACACATACACATACACATACACATACACATACACATACACATACACATACACATACACATACACATACACATACACATACACATACACATACACATACACATACACATACACATACACATACACATACACATACACATACACATACACATACACATACACATACACATACACATACACATACACATACACATACACATACACATACACATACACATACACATACACATACACATACACATACACATACACATACACATACACATACACATACACATACACATACACATACACATACACATACACATACACATACACATACACATACACATACACATACACATACACATACACATACACATACACATACACATACACATACACATACACATACACATACACATACACATACACATACACATACACATACACATACACATACACATACACATACACATACACATACACATACACATACACATACACATACACATACACATACACATACACATACACATACACATACACATACACATACACATACACATACACATACACATACACATACACATATTTGCTTTAGATTTACTTATAAATTATATTATCAATTGAAATACTTACAATATATTAACTTTATCTATAATATAATAAATAAGTACACATTGATTAGTAGTCAAACACTGTAAACTAATACTGTAGTAACTAATAGTATAGATTTATTTTAATATAAAAAAACTCATTTTTTACAATCATAAACATTTTATCATGTTTTACACACACACACACACACACACACACAACTAAGTTTTAATTACACACTTACAGTACAATTAGTTAAACATTAAAAAAAAATTCCCATTAATCAACTATTATTTAGTATTTAATCTATTGTTTTAATGCCCCTAATGTACTAAAATATTTTTTTTTAGTAATTGTATTAATTATTAATAATTATCAATTACAATTATCAAATATTTAATTTAATTATCGCAATTAGATATATATATATATCTAATTTTTTTTTTATTAATACAGTGTGTGTGTGTGTGCGATAACAACGTGTTTTTATATATAAATATAATTTATATATTATATATTAAAATATTATTTTATTTAAAATAAAAATTAAATACAGTATTATTATTATAATACATATGGTGTGTCGCAAGTCTAGGTGCATATACTACCTACTAGTGCCACAACTACTACTACTACAACAACTACTACTACTACTATTAGTGACAAATAGACAGACACTGTAATACAGTTAATAAAATTGATTTTAATCAACATTTATAAAAATAATAGCATTAGTGTCATACAAAAACACACGTATTTTATTATATATTATTAAATATATACAATATATATATATATTATTATTATTATTTAATAAAAATATAATAAACATATAATTATATTTAATTTCATAGTATGTGTTATATTGATTATTGATTGACTTATGTGTTAGTTTGTGTGTTAAAATAATTGTAATTTATTAATATTATTATTATGTTAATTAATAATTTTTATTTTTTGTTGTTGTTGTTAACTTAGCATGCTTATTTATCATACATAAGCATATTATCAAGTGGATTTTTTAATTTAAAAAATAAACATTAATAATAATAATAGTTAATATATTTAATAAATTGATATTGGGTCAAAAAACAATTAATTTGTGTACATATTAAACATATTTATAGATATATAATTTATACATAAATTTTTGATAAATTGTTTTTAATAATAATAATATTTATTGTTGTTGTTGTTGTTGTTAATAATAAAATAATTTTAATTTTAATATACACACAAAAATTTTTTTTATAGAGGATTACATATAATAAAAACTAAACAAAAATGTCAATCAAATGTGATTCAACTAAAATTTGTATTATTTGTGGCGACCATTCAAGCGGTAATTATTATAGTTTATTATAAATTAATTTTTTTTTAAATTTTATTTTATTATATAATTTTTTTATATATACAAAACAACAATTATTTAGGCTATCATTTCGGTGCCATAACTTGCGAGTCGTGTAAATCGTTTTTCAGGAGAAATGCCCTAAAAAATGCTGTAATTTTTTTTATATAGATTTTTAATTTTTAAGTTTTTTTTAATATAATTATTATTAATCATTTTTTAAGGACCAATTCAAATGTTTTTTGGGCGGCTATTGCCAGATAACTACCGATAACCGCAAACGATGCAAACGGTGCCGAATGGATAAATGTCTGGCAGTGGGCATGAATTCAGTAGGTTTACTACCCCTCACCCACCCCCACCATATAGTATACCGGTCTATATATATATATATGTTTAATGACATACCTTAGGTTTACCCCCACCATATAGTATACCGGTCTATATATATATATATATATATATATATGTTTGATGACATACCTTAGGTTTACCCCCACTCCCACCATATAGTATACCTCTCTATATATATATATATATATTTGATGACATACCTTAGGTTTACCCCCACCCCCACCATATAGTATACCTGTCTATATATATGTTTGTTTGATGACATACCTGTCCTCTACTACTGTCCTCAGAGTCTCATCTATTCTGATGAACAAAAAGAGGTCCGAAAGGCTATTGTCGAACAAAATCGCAAACGAAAGTATCAACAGCTGATGATTGCCGACAATACTATCGATAGTACCGGTGGTCTAGTGATGGACAACACCAACACCAACACCACCGCCATTACCACTACCACTACTACTATTGATGGACAGTCGTCTATTGTCAGCAGCAACTCATCCTCGACGACATCCCTATCCCCACAACAACAACATAACATGTCTATCATATCCATAGCCCATACACACGATCTGTACGACGATAAACGATTTCTTCACGAATGTAATTATAAAAAAAATAAAATTAATTAATTAATAGTATTTTATTATTATTATTATTAAAATTATTAGCAAAATAAATAGTTAGCAATTTGTTAGCAATAAAAAAATCACTTATTAACTATTTGTTAGTTATAAACAAATATATTGTTTAATAGTTATATATTTTAATAGTTTTTCTAATTAACAATTTATATATATATATATATATATATTTATTATTAATTAAAAGTATTATTATTATTATTAAAATTATTAGCAATAGTTAGCAATTTGTTAGCAATCAAACAAACTTTTTGTTAGTTATTAACTAAAAATAAATATATAGTTTAATAGTTATATATTTTAATAGTTTTTCTAATTAACAATTGATTATTAATTATTATTATTATTATCATAAAAAAATAAATAAATAGTTTTGGCACCAATGAAACCAATCAGCGATTATAATACACAATTCAATAGCCTGGAGGGTAGTAAACTACAGGAGCTACTCGAAGCCATACAGTTGATACAATTACCGGCTCCTACCACCTACTCCTCCACCTATTCATCACATGATATAAAACCGGGACGTTTTGTACAGACAATAGCCGATGCCATCAAAATCATAACCACTAAACACGAATTGCAGACAATGAAAATTGTCAAAATGTCCAAACAGTTGACCGGGTTTCGAACCATCAGCCCCGGGGATCAGCTAATCCTAATCAAGTATTCGATGATTGAGATGGAGTTTATGCAACAAGTGATGGTATTTAACTACGAGCACCAGTACTGGAATATTGTTGTGGTATTTAATGAAAAATTTTACAATTTTTAGTTTTTAATTTTTAGTGTTAATTTTTTTTAAAAAAAATATTTATGGTCTAATCAATCATCAGTTGTTATATACTGTATATATATATATATATAGAATTTATTGAATAATATATAGAATTTATTGAATAATAATATATAGAATTTATTGAATAATAATATATAGAATTTATTGAATAATTATATAGAATTTATTGAATAATATATAGAATTTATTGAATAATATATAGAATTTATTGAATAATATATGGAATTTATTGAATAATATATAGAATTTATTGAATAATAATATATAGAATTTATTGAATAATATATAAAATTTATTCAATAATAATATATAGAATTTATTGAATAATAATTCATAGAATTTAAAATCAGAAAACAAAATATAAAAATTTTATTAATAAAGTCAATGATAATTATAATTTGTATATTAATTTTTTTTAAATATTTTTTTATATATAATAATATTTATATTTAATTTATTCAATAATTTTTTTAAAATTTTTTTTTACTATATTATATATATATATATATATCCAAGTAGAACAATGAATCGCATTTAATTAAATTGGATTTATTTAAAAATTTCGATAATATTCCGGCAAATGAAAGGCCATACATATATCACAGGGATTTCCTACAAAACATAGGACTCGACTGGGAATCCGATCCATTGATCATACATTTGGTTTGTATATTATATATATATATATATATATATTTTTAAAAAAAATTTAGTAAAAAATATATTAATATAAATAAATTATACTAATATTTATATTTGTTTTTTAATCATTTTTAGCTAACAGCTATAATTTTATTTAATCCCCATCGACCTAAACTAGTTAACCGTCAAATTGTTAAGTAAGTGATAAATATATATATGTATTTATTTACTAATAATAATAATAGTTATAATAAATTAAATTTAGTTAAATAGTATAATATATATATATTATATAATATGCAATAATAATATTACTTTTTTAAAACTTTTTATTTTTTTTGTTGAATTAGTATTTATATATATTTACTTTTATCTATATATTTATGATATATGATATATACTGTATATATACTAGTATTTGTTAGTTAATTATTTTAGGAAAACAATCGTAATTAATTTCTACTATTTAAAAATTTAATTTTATTTTAAACAAAAATACTAAAATAAAAAAATAAAAAATAAAATAATTAATATACAGATTACAGCAAAATTTTTACGTCCATTTACTACAACGTTATCTCTATATAAAGTGTCGATCAGTCCTAATGGTTAAAACAAAATACTTGAGACTAATACGTGATCTAAAATTTTTGAATATTCTCTGTACGAAAGTTACGGAAAATTTCAATAAATATACATCAAATTTCATTGATTATCCGCCATTGTTCAAAGAGATTATGATGAATAGATAGTAAATAAATAATAATTATTATATAATTAACAACAACAACAACAAAAATAAAAATAAAAAAGTTTTTAATTAGTTGTATTTTATTTATTTAATAAATAAATAAATAATTTTTTTAAAGAATTTTTTTGATAATTTATTTTTATGATATTAATTTAAAGTTTTTTTTTAATGTTAGCTTATTATTATTATTATTAATCTAATAAATTATTATAGTGCTAAATTATTATTATTATTATTACTAATAATAATCATTATCACAAATTAATATTCACACATTAAAACTATACACAAAAAAAATGTTTTTCTATGTTTATTATTATTATTTCTATTTATTTGAATTTAATTACAATAATTACATTAATTAAAAATTTTGTTTAAAACAATTATATATAACAATAATGCTATACTAACTTAAACACAATGTCATATATATATATATATATGTATATACAATAGAAAATTATTTATTTATTTATTAAAAAAAACATTATATTGTATTAAGTTATAAACTTTATTTTTACAAATAATTTTTCAGTTTTAAAAAACAATAATATATTTTTAAAATAAAATTAATATATATATATATATATATTTTTAATTATATTTATATCTCCCTGTAGATTTCAGCAAAATAATTATATACATTTACTGCAGCGCTATTTACTAATTAAATATCGATCCGATTTACTAATGAAAAATAAATTTACCCGGCTTATCTATGATTTGAAATACGTGTTTACTTTAAGCGAAAAAATACCGTTTTTTGTCAAACATGTCGACACCATTGTCGATATGCCGCCATTGTTTAAGGAGATTATGTCCAATAGAGACAATGATAATGATTGCAATAATAATAATAATAATAATAATTTCAATATTGATAATAATAATAATAATAATAATAATGATTATTATAACGATAGTAATAGTAATAGTAGTAGTAGTAGTAGTAATGATAATAGTAATGATACTATTAGTTAGTAATTAATTAATTTGTAAAAGTTTTTAGCTAACATAATAAAATAAAAAAGTTAGGAATAATTATATTTAATTTATTAAATTATTTGTTTTTTTTAAATTATTTATTTATTTATTATAATAAAAAAATTAACAATTTATTGTAAACTAGAATTGATTGTAAATTTTTTGAGTTTTTAGTTGTTTTGTGTAAATTTTAATGTAAAAAAATAATAATAAATAAATAAATATTTTGTTGTTGAAATATTTCTATAATTTTTATTTTTTTTAAATAATAATTTGTATATAATATACAAATATATAATTAAATTTGTTAAAAATATTTGTGATATTATTATTACAATTTTCAATGTTATATATTTATTATTTAATAAAAAAAGTAGATTATTTTTTTAAGTGCAATTAATATATATATATATATATATATATATATAATACTATCAATAAAAATAATATTTTATTTTATTATTTAATATTGTATAACTAAATTATTATATATATATATATGATATATGATAGCTATTACTAAATATATATATATGGTTTTTATTTTTTAAGTGTTTTTGATTATACAGTAATAAATTGATAACAACAACAAGTAAAATGCAATTACAGTGTAACTAAGTTTTTATAGTTTTTAACTTAAATATATAAAAAAAATCATACATAATATCTCATTTTTGTTTGACATTTTGTTTTTAATATATATATTACTTTTTTAATATATAAATAATAATAATAATAATATGTGATAAAAACAAATTATACAAATATGTCGGATAATATTGAAAATACATTACAACTATATTGTGTTGTTTGTGGCGATAAATCTAATGGTAATGTAAATCAATAACAAAAATAATTAAATAATAATTAATAAATAATTTTTGTAATTAATTTAAATTTTGTTGTTTTTTTATTTATTAATTAATTAATTAAAAATAAATAATTTTTTTAATGTTTTTTTTTAATTGTTTATTAGGCTATCATTTTGATGTTCAAAGTTGTAACTCTTGTAAAGCATTTTTCCGACGCAATGCACTTAAATATCAGGTAATTATATAAATTTTATTTTATTTTTTTTATATTAAAAAATATAAAAATATTATTATTGTTGTTTTTTAAGGACCGTTTGCGCTGCTATTTTGGTGGCAAATGTACGGTAGATATCGATAGCCGAACCCATTGCCGAAAATGTCGTTTAGATAAATGTTTTTCAATGGGAATGAAAACTGTATGAAAAAAATAAAATCAAAAAAAATTAATTAACAGAATATTCTTTAAACACAACAAAAATTAAATTATTTGATTATTTTTTTATATAAAACTAGAATTTGTTTTATACTGACGATGAAAATCAGGTCAGAAGAGCTATAGTTCGGGAAAACAGGAAACGAAAACTTGTGGCCAAAGTTGACGACAACGACGACAATAACGACAACAGTTGGCCGACGCCGACGCCCGTCAATCGGCGATCGGAAATCATCGGCGATTATAGTCAACAACAGTTGCCATCATCGGTGATAACAACAACAAACTCGGAAACAATAGACCGAAACAACAAATCGCAGACAACTATCGGCAATGATATGCTGTCCACCGATGATGACGACAACGATGACGACGAGGACGACAACAACTCTATTGATTCGGAACTAACGATTAAGTTATTGTCACCGCAGTCGCCGACGCCGACGCCGACACTAGTAATGGTTGCCGATTACGGTGCCACTGTTGATGGTGGCCACTGTTTTACCGACGGCCAGTCCCAGCGATTTCGTCAACTATTAGATTCAATGAATTGTCTGCAAACTACTGGCCACTATAGCCGTCAATTACGTATGACTTGTATCCATGAGTCTATACATATACAGACCCAAAAGTTTTCAAACGATTTGCCAAAATACGTACAAATGGCCAAATCGTTGGACCAGTTTCGGGATGATCTCGAAGAATCGGATCAATTAATTTTGATTAAATATTCTGCATTGGAGTTAGTGGTGTTAAGAAATATATTGAATTTTAATTTTGAACATCTCTACTGGAATATTATACATGTATGTAATATATATCAGGGTTCTCGATCTCAAGGGGGGGGGGTATAGGGGGGGTAAAATGTCAAAACTTTCGAAAAAACTTGGGGGTATAGGGCGGGGAGGGGTGAACAATTTTTATTGCATTTTTAAACTACAATTTTTTCCAAATTTGAGTAAATTCCCAATAAATTCCCATTAATTTCCCACTAAATTCCCATTAAATTTCCACTAAATTTCCATTAAATTTCCAATTCCATTCCTACTCCCCTTTCACAACCTGGATATATATATTTTAATTATTATTATTATTATTAAAAATTATAAATGTTTTTCTATACAATTAAAAAATAATTAGCATATATTATAGAATCTATAATATTTGATAATTTTTTTTTAAAATTGTATAATAATATACTAATTTTTATTCAACAACAAAAAAATTACTAAAAAAAATATATCTATAATATAACTTTATGTTATATAATATTCTATTGAATTACTGTATAATATATTTATTTCAAATATGAAATTATTTACTAATAATTAAATTTATTTTATTTTACAGGAAAACACATCGTATATAATAAATCTGGATTTATATAAACAAATATCCGAAGACCCGGACATTGGCGGTCCGTATACTTTGCATAAAACATTTTTAACCGAAATGGGTATCGATTGGGATTTCGACAAATTAATCATTTATTTAGTAAATTATTATTAATATTTTATTTTTTTTAAATAATAATCTATAAATTATAGATTATAAATTTAAATTTATTATTTTAATGATTATATATATATATATATTATTTATAAATATCTATAGTTAACACCAATATTACTATTTAATCCGAATCGACCAAAATTATTAAATAGAGATCATATCGAGTAAGTTATATATATATATATAATATATATTATATATATATATATTATATGTATATATTTTATATATATGTTTATTATATATATATATATATTGTATATGTATATATTTTATATATATGTTTATTATATATATATATATATTGTATATGTATATATTTTATATATATATATGTATATAATTTATATATATGTATTTATTTTGTTATATATATATTGTTTTATTTATAGTTTTGTATTAAAATTTTGTATTAATATTATTTATTTTAATTTTTTTTGTTGATATCCTCCCCCCACAGAAAACAGCGTGAATTTTATAAACAATTATTGAAATGCTATTTGAATTGTAAATATCAATCTGTATTACTATCCGATGCTAAACTCGACCGTCTATTGGATAGTTTGAAACATTTGACTATTTTAAGCAACCGGGTCGCCTATTTCTCTAAATTTGCAAACAATTTCAATTATATACAGTTTCCGGAAATATTTCAGGAAATTGTTACACGAGATGATTAAAAAATTAAAATAATAAAAATTAACTGAATTTATTTTTTTTTTAAATAATAATAAAATTATTATATATATATGATTATAATGTCAATAATAATTATATACAATACAGTTGTTAGTTATGTATACAAAAAAAATTTTTTTTAAAGTATATATTGTAATACTTTCAACAAATAGACTATTAATTTTTTAAAATTAAATTTTAAAAAATAATAAAATTAGATATGAATATTTTTATTATTATATTACAATTTTGTAAGTATATTATTATTATAAATTATAAATAAAATTTATTATTATTATTTTCAATTATGTTATTAATTCTAATATTATTCACTTAAAAATTATTTTTTTTAAAATCATATAACTATTTATTTAATTAAAAATTTAAATAATTTAGAAAAAAACTGTTTTTAGAGTTAAATAAAAATAAAATAATAATTTCTTTTACTGTATTTCTATTAAATACTATTTTAATCGTAGATAAATTAATATTATTAGTATTATTTATTTTGTATATTAAATTATTTTTATACATATTTGACATTAATTACTATAAATATTAATAAATATAAAGTAATATTTATTTAAAAAAAAAACTTTTACTATACAAACAAACAAATAGTTTTATTATTATAATCTAAAATAGGAAATAAATGTTTTCGTATTAATATTTAGATCAATAATATGTATGTGTTTTATAAAAGGGATTAAATAAAAGTTTAGTATTTTTAGGTGAAACACAAATCAAATAAATTGTTTATCAAATGCTAATCATATATTGTTTGTATATAAAAATATTAAACTGGCATTGAATTGATTTTGTAATAAAAATACATTTTTATTTTTAATAATAAAATTTATAATTTTTTTTGTTAATTTTATCAATAATAATGTGTAAATTTCATTCAATAATGAAAATTATAATAATTTTTATCATAGTTTTTGTATTAAACTTTACAATCGTTAACTGTTTGCCATCAATGGGTTTGAAACTTATATCAACTCAAAAATATTTATTAATAAATATATGAGAAATAATTGATTAAATTTTTTTGTTTTGTTTTTTATTTAATTATTTTAGGTATGAATTTTGACATTAATAGTGTGGAAACTACTGGCCATAAAATGTTTGAAAAATTAAACACAAATACCACTACTAATGATATTAATTGGACTAAAAATGTTAACAAAAAAAGTTTTAAAAAGTTAGTTTAATAAAATACTAATACTAATAATACTATACAATAAATATGTATTTTTTTGTTTGTTTGCATATATTTTTACATATACAGTACACTATATTAATTTATATTATATATATATATATATATATCAAGCCATCAATGAGTTTGAAACTATAATATAACTCAATATATATATATTAAATAATTGATTTTTTTTTGTTTATTTAATATTATTATTATTATAAATAGATATTTCCATAAATAGTGTAGAAAGTGGGGCTAAAATGTCAAAATTAAAATCAATTAATACTAATACTACTAAAAACTTTATAAAAAAGTTCAAAAAATTAATTTCATATACAATAATAACAAAAACATAATTATAAATTTTTTATTATTGCCCATTAATAGCTGTATTGATATACAGTATAATTTATATATACACTTAAAAATTTTAAATTACAATTATATACAGTATATAGTGTATATAAATATTAATTTTAAATTTACAATATTTATTATTTTTTTAACTAAAATAATTAAATTTAATTAGCAATAATAATAATAATGATTGCTATTAAATGTTTGTTTGCTGTGATTTTATTATTAATTATTATTAATAATAATATTAGTATTGAAAACCAATCGCCGGCTGATTACATGCCGTCGGCGGCACCGACGGTGGCGGCGGTAATCAAAATCGATGGCAACGATACGGCCAAACATTTGATGCCCGACAAAGACAACAACAACAACAACCAGCAAAATGTCAAACAAGCCGTGGAAATGGCTGCCAATCAGGCTATCTGGTCATTGAATCGGGCCATCGACAGTTCAATGAACAAGGGGTTCAGTCTACCCTACCCGCTGGCCGCCCGACTGGTACGGGAACAGGCCATCAAAGCCAAAGAACAGGCCAACGATGAACTGCAGAAAATTGTCGATCAAATAGTACAGTCGGCGGCTGTCGCCGACAACGATGATCGGCACCGAGTATTGGCCATCCGTTATGAGGCTAATAAAGCCCTTGATTTGGCTATGAATGCCATCGAAAGTGCCCGATCGCTGGCCGTGAAAGCAGCTCTCAGAAAATTTACCGAAGAGGGGACCGCCGCCAATGTTGATGACACCAAAACCGATACCCATACCTATCCGGCAGCACAACAACAACAACAACAGCAGACAGCATCGTCGACACCAACTTCGGCGGATAAAAATGGAGTCAGTGTTGTTGTCCAACAGTTTATCAAATCAATACTATCCGACACTATCATTGCGGGACAAATGAGTAAAAAAATTCCCGCAATTGGCCAGACATTGAATTTATCGGCCAGTTTGTCGACATATTAGATCAGAGCCGTCGATAACGAAGAGCTGTCGATTGCAACAGTTTTGCCGACACAAACCTACCGGAGATCTGATTTAATTTTTATTTTTATTTTTTTTTTGATGTCAACCTAAAACATATCCAACATTATTATTATTATTTAAATTGACTTAACCAGAAATTTTTGATTTTAAAAAATTTAATTTTAATTTATTATTTTTATATCTTGTTTTTTTTTAAAAAAAAATTAGACAATTGCTGACAAATGTTGATTAGTAATTATTGACTATTATTATTTCAATCATATATATATATTGAAATAATAATAGTTAATAACTACTAAACAACATTTATATATATATATATATAATTTTTTAATAGATATTTTAATTTATAGAATATTTTAGATGATTTAAAAAAAATTATTTTCAATAAAACAACTAATTGCTTAACAAATCATAATAATTGTATTTAAATATATAACTGACTTTGAATAGATTTTTTATGTAATAAAATTTTGTAATTATTATTTTTTTTTGACATTTATATTGTTTATTAATCAATTTTAATTAAATAAATATTTTTTGATGCATTAATAATAATTCTAATATATTAATATAAAAAGGCATTACATATATCTAATACATATATCTTACAGTATATCGTTATAAATATATAAAAATTTAGTTTTAGATTATAATTATTATCATAGAATAGTTTAAACAAAATTATAAATAATTTTTTTTTTAATAATATTCTCTGTATATACAGTATATATATAAATATATTATATTATATTATAGAAAATATATACTGTATATACTTTGATTTAAATATTATTTTCTACAATATTATACTATCTATTAATTTGTTAAAACAGTTTCAATAATCCAATCGATATATTTGGATACACGTGTAAAAACCATATAAGATTTTGGATTAGTATTATGACATTCGCCTACAGGTTCTGGTCCGGATGAACTTGAAGTCACACCTATATGTACGGCCCGATCATCCATACCGTCATCACTACTACCACCCGAAACATATTGAATCAATGGTCCGCCAGAATCGCCCTATTTATTGGTATTATTATTAAATTTTTAAATATAAAATCCAAAAAGCAAGACAAAACACATTTTTGCGTATACACATACACACATACATACACATACATACAAATACATACACATACATACACATACATACACATACATACACATACATACACATACATACATACACATACATACATACACATACATACATACATACATACACATACACATACACATACATACACATACATACATACACATACATACACATACATACACATACATACACATACATACATACACATACATACATACACATACATACACATACATACACATACATACATACACATACATACACATACATACACATACATACACATACATACATACACATACATACACATACATACCATACACAATGCCGGTCCTCTATGAGCCGGATATCTGATGCCTCGGATTTCTTTACTCCAGACATCAGTCCTGTTATTAAATGTCTTCATAATCATCGAAACACCCGTTCTCAGAGTTCCTGTATTACTGACTCCTCCATCAATGAAACCAAAGCCAGCAAACAGTGCCAACTCTTCAACGGTATTAACAATGTCTCTGTCGGGCAAACAAATACTGTTAACCGTATAATACCTGCCATTCATTGATCTTTGAATCCCTAAATGACTATTCAGTTTCAATAGTCCGATATCATTGATATTTTTATCTTTTGGATAATCTTTATATTGAAACCATTTGTCGACACCGTATGTATGGCTTTCATCTCTCTTATCCTGAACTGTCCGAACAGTTATAATAAAATCGGATCTAATAATAATAATAATCAGAAAAAATTGTTGGAAAAATTTTTTTATTTCTATAATATTCTCAAATATAATGAATGTTCTCAAAAATAAATATTTTAAAAATCATTTATATATATAATAATTAATAAATTAGTTAATGTATTAATTTTAAGTAACATTTTTTGTGTATAAATTATTATATTACTCTATACAATGTGCTGCTGTTATAATCCAATAGTGATTTAGTATAACTCCAGTACAATAAGCCCTATTTAAACAAAATTATTTATATATTTTAATATTTCACTATTTAAAAAAAATAAAACTATAATTAGTTTGTTAAACCATGCAGTGGGGATAAATCCTAGAAAATAATATGTAGAATAAATATATACAATCCATGGCCACTCTCCCGGTTGAGCTAACCGTCCGTTTTGTACACTTGTAGTCACATTTGATGACCACTTGAAACAGTTTTTTGTAGTCAACAGTGACTGCCGTCCGATACCACACGTGTCGAGCGTTACGTTCGGATAGTGTTTGATCTGTGAGTGAATGCAAACACTGAACGACACCAATACTGATGACAACAATACTATTAATCAAAAATATATTAAATATATATTTAAATAAAAATGTTTTATAGATTTAGTTTATTAAGTTTTTTATTTAAAAAAAATCATATAAAACATTAACAAACATAAGTTTAGCACAATTTTCATTATGTGATGTCCTATAGTTCTAATTCAATGCTATTTTAATAAAAGTTAATTAAAAATATTTTTAAATATATAAATTAATTATTTAAACTGTTATTTTTAATATAGTTATTATTTTTTTTATTGTAAATTTTCATAATATACTAATCAAATGTTATAGTATTTTTAAAAAATTTATTAAAATATAAAAAAAATAGTTTTAAATTTCTTAATTGATTATTATTACCTTAAAGATATTTTTTAATACATTAATACATTATTATATTTTATAACCTTGTAATTGATTTGTTAAAAATATTTTGATACTTTTTTTTATTTTTGAGTAATACAATATTTAATTTTAATATAATTTATATTGTTGAAGACATCCATATGTCCTTCAATTACCGATAATTTAAGATTAATATTTTGTATTTATTTCCTATTATAACTATTTCTATACATTGTATTAATACTTATATTTACACTTCATCTTAATTTTTACCGTTAAATATCCTTTTACCTGTAAATCCTGGTCAGTGACACCAATCACTGGCACCTCAATGTCCATCACATCAACTATTCAACCGTTTTATATTCAAACAGTCCAATGACTACCTTTCCCTCCAATTCATTACCTGTATATCCAGTTGACTATAAATACAGTACAACTACTTTATTTATTAGTCAGTCAGTACATCACATACCTCACCAGTCAGTGCCACTGTTCTCTACATCTGAGCCCAGTCTCAGCCATTACTACTGTACTCGCACTAAACGTGCTCTTCATTATCATCTCTTTTACCGATATTTTAACCATTGTTTTAAACATAAAAGTGTTTCACTTATAACTTGTGTTTAACTTCATTATCATTGTTGTCATACATCAAGAGTTCTACCGATTATTATACCGATTCTTATACCGATTAGTATCGCCAACGCTTACCGATTGATAACTACTTACCAATCGTATTATCACTACCTGATTGTCGTGTGCAAGGATTTGGATCATCAATTGGCCACCACTTGGTTACCACAGCTGCACAGTGATCACACATATCATCTGAGAAGTCCTTCAAAGACCTATTGGGTGATCTATCATACCTGTGTCTCACCAGTTAAATACCGGTCTCATACCGACCACACGGTAGTTGACTACCCGTAGACACAACAATTGGCACAGTTGGCCGGATCATCATCAGATCCCTGACCGTGTCATAAAAATATTATTAATTATTTAATAATTTATTTATATAATTATTTGATTAAAAAATTATTGTCTTACTATTACTGTACATAATATTGATAACAAAATCTATAAATAGAAATTATAATAGAAAAAAATTAATTTACAAATATTTAAAAGAAAACTAAACAAGCTAACTTTTTAATTTAGTTTTAATTAGCAATTTATAAAACTTTAATATCTATTATAGTTTTCTAGATATTGACCATCCCTGTTCTTGCATACCTGTGCCTAATTACAAAAAAAAGTGACAATACCAAACTGACCGTCCCAATAAATAATAGTAGCAAATTTTTTTTTTTTAGTTTTTTTTCATTCTAAAGATCTAAACACACAAAAAAAACTCGTTCATCTATTTTGTCATCGACTGTATATATATATAATATATATAAATACAGCAAAAATTTCAATTTTTTAACCCAAAAAAAAATAATAATAAATATGTTTTTATGTTTGTATGATAGACCCCTAACCATACAAACACCCATTCCTTTATCGATTGGATATCAAAGCGCTTGAATTTGATTACCCCAATAGTCCTGATTATTATTCAATAAGGTTTTCAATTAATTTCAACCAACCCGTCCCGCAATGGTCCCTCGTTTTTAATATCCGGATCAGTTCGTCCATAACCAGCAAACAGTTGTGCCAACTCTTCATCGTCGGTGTTAACAATGTCTCTGTCGGGCAAACAAATACTGTTAACCGTATAATACCTGCCATTCATTGATCTTTGAATCCCTATATATGACTATTCAGTTTCAATTAGGCGATGTCATACATGTATCCATTATTTGTATAGTTTGTATGTATAAACCATTGGTGAACACCATATATATATATATATATATATATATATATATATATATATGTCTGTCATCTACTCTATCCTGAACTGTCCAAACAGTTATAGCCAAACAGATAATCTAAATAATAATAATAATAATTATTATTATTATTATTTAAACTTAAACTAATTACTGATTATGAAAACTAATATTTTAATTAATAAATTTAAGTAATATATATATATATATTACAAACTCTTTACAATGCGCTGCTGTTATAATGCAATTGGTGTTTAGTATAACATCCGTACAGTCAAACCTATAACAAATTATAAACAAATACTGTTAAACGTATAATATCTGCCATCCATTGATCTGGTTATCCCTATATATGACTATTCAGTTTCATGAGTCCGATATCATACATCCCATTATCGATCGTATGGTTTGTATGTATAAACCATTGTTTTACATCATATGTATGACTATTATCTGTCTTATTCTTAACTGTTCGCAAAGTTATTGTCCGATCGGTACTTAATAATAATAATAATATAATTAAGATTAAATTAATTAATCTATAAAAT